AAAAAAAAAAAAAAACGAGCTGTGGGTAAAAGTCTACTATCTGCACAGGACAGAACCTGAAGGGCCCTGATGGGGGACGGATGACAGGTCACAGGGAATGCAAGCCACCCCTGAGCTACCCAAGTACTCCTGACTGCTCTTTGGAATGGCCCCTGGCATAACCTATGCACCCCAAAGCATACGGGAGACCCGAGGGTAATCAGTACTGTGGACAATGGGCCTGCCCCTCATCCTGCTCCTGACATGCCCCTGCTGTGCAGGCATTTCAGAAGAGCCTGTGGCACAGAGGAGTTGGGCAGCAAGCTGAGGATTTGGGTCATTACAAGATAAAGAGCGGTGTTTGGAAATGCAACAAGGGGGCTGTAGTTGCCCTTGCACCCTCCCCCCTGACACCTAAAGATGAGAAGAGAGAAAAAAAAAAAAAAGTGGAAAAGGTGGATTTCATTTTTCTCCCACTTTCCTGCTCTTGTGGTAAATGGAAAAATACAGGTAAAATGTTCATCCTGTATTACTTCTCAAAAGGGTAGCAACTACTAAGTAGATACTTGGTTATAATCTTGCATGTTTCCACTGTGGATTTATCATAGAGAAAAAAGCCTGTACAACACTCTTTAGAAGATGCTTCTCACCTTTCTGGAGGGAGGCCTAGAGCAATGTTTCTTAACTGCTGGGTTGTGACTCCTAAGGGTCATGAAGGACAGCCTGGAGGCGAGGCAATAACTTTTTCAATCCTTCACAAACTGAAGCAAAGAAAAGCTTGGTTTCCTCCAAGCTTAGGTGCCTCTGCTCACATGTGCATGCATAGTACAAAGGTTTGTCCTTGCTATCATTGATGTTTATTACTTTTACTTTCACAGTAAAGGCAGTGACTGCATATATTTAACTTCAAATAAGAGATAGTCAACTTGAAAATGCTGAAAAAACCTACACTAACTGAAAGAGCTTGTCAAGAAAGATGGAAGGACTGAAGTGGAATTAAAAGAACAGCAGCACAAGATTTGAAACTATATGCTCACCTGAACTCATTTAGGGCATCTACAATCCTGTTATAGGCCAAACTCCGTTGACTGGCATCAGCTGATCTCCGACTCATTTTCATAGCCTTGAAAACAATCATTAAACAGATAACTAACACTAGACATGGCAACGAATGGAAAACAGTCATGTGTTTGCCCTTATCTTTCATGCAGCAAGTCACGCAAATAATGTTTCTTCTTTCCTTTTTTTTTTAAATGATAAATAATGGTACAATGCCAGTTTTTATATCAAGAGAGACATATGAGACACGTGTATCTGCAGGCTCCTCCTCTTCTGCACCTTTTTCACTCAGGCCAGAAAGGCGTTTAAAGTTTTCATACTCTGAATCTTTTTCTGTGGTTGCACACTCAGTGTGAAGCATTTTCTAGAAGAGGGCCGAGAGGCAAATCCATCTGTACTTAATATCCAAACTGCTCGTTCATTCTTTGAAAATCTACCACCATGTTTAGAAATCAGCAAAAGGAAAATAAAGAATTACTGGCAACCCTCTAACCTATACAAACCTAAAATCTTGCAATGTAATCCACTGGTGTGGGTGCTTATGTAGCTTGCACAGGGAGACAGCATCAAGTCACCTTTCCATCTTGGCCAATACAGGGGCTGGCTCCAATTCAAGACAGTGGTTCTTTCAATACAATGCAGCATGCTTTGCCCCCAGCCCAGTCCCCTCTCTATGCTAGCCATAGAAAGCAGAGTCAAAGATCTAGCTCAGTAAGCATAACTCCTTTCAAGGGGAACTCGATCAGCAGAAAGGAAGTCAGATCATTGTATTACACATAAATACCTAAACTTAAGGGAAGGGAATGTGAAAGGGGAAAAAGGTAAACAAAGTACAAGAATGCAAAGTACAAGAATGATGCTTACCTGTTCTATTGCACTCTTCAGTTTGTTCATGCGACTCTCAAAGAGAGGGAAGTGTGAGAAAAAGAACTCATTAAATTTGCTATTTTCATCTTCATCCTTTGAGAGTGTAAATATCACCCCAATGGCAATCTTCTTCTTCCTAACAATCCCTGGGTTGGGACCAGAGCTGTCATCTGACAAATTAAAGCTTTCTTCTACAGACCTTGAAGGGGCAAAAAAAGCAGGAGCTAGCACACTTGATTGCTTTCAAAGGAAGTTTGATTTCTTGTGTAATTAAATATCAGAACATTTAACTTAAGTGATCTCCTTTTGTCTGTGTTTACTCTCAAAACATTTTCTTTGATAACAACAAGTTTGTAACTATACAAGCACAACAGATTATTGAGCCTTAAGTCTCCAAGTCTAGAATCAGATTGATAATTTGCAACTGGTTATATTCCAGCTCACTCCTCTGTGCCATTGGTTTGCTGTTTGTTAGGATCTCAGGGACTGTTTTCCATATTTTACCTGTATTTTGTTGGAAGCATTCCATTATGTTAGTAGTGGTAAACACTATGATGAAACATTAAAAAGGAACAGGAGTCCAATGCTAATTTGAGTTTTACCAGCATAAGTGCTCCATACAAAGCAACAGCATTACACTGGTGTTTGGTAGCAAAAACAGGTGGTAAGATGTTGTTGCATGGGAGAAAACAGCCAGGTTTATAATTTCCGGCTCACCATCTAGGGAAGACCCCATTCTCCAAGCTTGTGGTCTGACTGCGACGCCAACGTCTTTGGTAACTGCTGGCACAGCTTCTGGTAAGCGAGGAACCCGGAGACGGAAATGGAGTGATGAGAAGGCTGCTAAGAGATGCTGTAACAATAAGAGGAACAAATATAAGTCTATATATGATTGAGGCACACTGAAGAATATGACATTTGAGAAATAACATTGCCAACTCAAGGTGCCTCACAAAAGTTTAGCTGTGCCACATATCATTTGGTTTCTCTCATTTCCTATTTTCAAAATATCCAGGACTGATGGGCTGGAACAGTCCCGAAACTCCAGTTTTAGATGATCAGCAGCATAGATATCACACACCAGTACATCTCACTGCCCCACCAAGCTCCAAGGGCAAGGCTGGAAATTCCTTTTTCAAGTAGTAAGATGTTCTCTCTTCCAAAACCATAACTGCCAACAGCTGGGAAGGATGGTGCGCTAGACAAGTCCCCAGTCCCAGCAGACACAGCATCCTGAGCCAACTGGGGGTAGGGTGTGTTGGGGGAAATAGCATTCTAATAGCTGAGGTTAATATGGCCCCACACTGGCAAGCCGATGGGACATGGCATTGCTTGGACAAGAGTTTTTCACATGTGTGCTTAAGCTGCCCTGGGTGATGAGTTGTATTACATTGTACTGCTGTGTTTGGGACCTGAAACTGTTTTTCAGACACCAGAAAGTACCACAGGATGCATGGAGAGATGCTCTTTCAAGAATCTGCACAAATATAAATAAAAACATGCATTTCAAATCAGATGAGTATTTAAGTGGAATTTTGGGCATTCTTGGGAAGGTCATTGAGTGAAACAAAGGCTACTTAGTTAACAGGATGGATGAACATCTGGTCTCAGAGTGATGATTAGTATATGAGACTACATTACCAGATCTGGCTATACCGCTGTCTCTGTCCTCACTCTGTTCTCTCCCTGGCATGTCCATAGGGTTGCTGTGAACTGTAAAACAAAGCACATCAATTAAGCAACTGAATATACGTGTCTTTCCTGGCTTGTAGAGCTCCATTTAATTAACACAACTAAAACATGCTCATTAACTCAGATCTTTTTCAACAGCATTGCACAAGGCCATCACCAAAAGATGCTGCTAAGCTGAACAAGCCAAAACACTGATGTGAAAAGCTCAGACATTTGAATAGAAAAACAACCAGACTTGCATTCACTTTTCTGGAGACAAAAAATGTTTTACAGTAAAATTCTAATGCATCAACAGGGTGCTAGCCATGCAGCTATAGCCCAAAGCAAAAGATAAAAAGAATAACTTGGATAATAGATGTGTAAAAGCTAATATCACTACAGAGATAGCTTTGTATACAAGGCTTGATCAAGTCTGAAGGAATTTTTCTAAAAAGACTTTAAGATGGCCACCAGGAAGGAAACCAATTCCTGTTAAAATGTTGTATAGTGTATTGCTTGTTCAGCTAAGCCTTAAGCTACTTGAATTCACAGCCACTGTGTGTGTACACAAGATCAAGTGTCTCAAAATCTCAGTAATCTTTAAATGTGATACATTTTACAAATCTGTGAAACAAAAAGCTACTCAGCCATGGAAATAAGACCCCACTCCTGAAACCAGGAATTGTTTGTTTCCTAGCAACCCCAACAGACTACCTTTTAATTGTAATTTAGTTGAAGCAAGGCCAGTTAAAAAAAGTTACAAATATTGCCTCCAAAAAATGCATGCACCACACAAATGCGTAGGTTTCTATAAAACTAAAAGCTCATGAAGAGAACAGAAATTTTAAAGCATCTACCTGTTTTCTTGGAATTTTAAACATGCATCTTCTACACGAGAAGGGTGCAAAATAGGCCCCTCTGCCCACCTTATAATTTCTCCATCTCCTTCAACTGCATTACCCTATGTTTTTAAAGAGATCTTATTTCCAGGGCTAAACTACAAGCTCACCCGGTTGTGCAACACTAAGCAGACTATCCACACAGCACAATGCAAACCTGCAAAGAAAGAGGCGCTCCGGATCAGGCGGAGCGGACCTTGTTCAGAGAATGCCCGCCTGGGGCTGCAAAGCTGTGAAAGACCTACATGGCAAAACGTAAAATACATATGAAAGAATGAGGTTAGTAAAGCAGAACAGAGTCTGTGGGGATGGGGTGAGGGAGGGGAAGGGGGAGGAGGAAGAGGTCCAGGGGACTGTGTAGGGAGAAGATATAAGCCAACATAAATGCAGAACAACAGATACAGGGAAACATAGCTCTTACACTCAACAGGAATATCAATTCAAGCTGTATTACTCATGGTTACAACAGTATTTCCATGATTTTCCACCTTTCCAGTTTTACCCATATCAAAAGTTTGCTCAAAATCATTAAATTTGAAAAAGAGGCAAGGATTTCTTAGGCTGATATCTTTTATTGGACCAACTATGTAGTTCGGAACAAACTTTCAAATGCAAAACATTTTTTGTCAGGTCAGGTCCTCATAATTTATGAGGAAATTATGAAACCCTATGAGGTCAAAACTTCATTTGAATCACATATGTTAGATTTAGCCTGCTTTACCATGACCATTTTAACAGCTCAATTTGAGGAGATAGCTGGGGTACTCCACCTTTGAAGAAGACGGAACGGAAAAAAAGACAGCAGACGTAAATTAAACTTTACAGACCTAACAAGAAAGGTCAAAATAGTTACCCAAGAAAATGAGGACATATATAATATTAGTCAAACGATGAACAGAAAATATGTATTTGCAGTCTTAAAACTCTGCATTAACGTTTATTATCTACAGGTAAATAGGGAAATAGAGTATGCTTGTTCTCTCTATGCAAACAAAACAACAAAGCCCACACGGTTATTTTTCATTAGGTAATTATTAGCTCTACTCAAAAGCTAGATTTGGGATGTTATTACCTACTCTATGTAAAATGATTTAAAAGCCCAGAAGGCTGCACTTTAAAAGCTTTTTGCATTCTCTTTTAGCTACTTAGTTCTTTACTGTGGAAGAACATGGGGACTAGCTTATAAACAGGCGTGTCTGAAAAAAAGATTGTAAATAGTCCCCTCCCAAAACACACAGGAACTTTTTAATAATCACAAGTTGGCAAGAGCCAGTAGGTCAGAAGTATTCTTTATATGTTAGTTGTCAGAAATGTTCCAGTTACAGATTAACTTCTTGGCCTTAACTTACCCATCATTCATTGTGTCTTGAAACAGGAACTATAAACAAACAGTTCTGAATGGACAGAAAGTTTGTGCAGTTTCACTGCAGTCTCAAGTGTTTAAGTCTCCTCTTTGGAACCATTACCTTATCATGTGTTGGGTGCATACCTCAGTAACTACAAATGGAAAGAGTTACATCCCAACATATATAATGCCCACATACTAGTGCCCTGAAACAAAGCACTAAGAGTGTTGTCGTCTTCTTACTGTTATGGAAGGCCATTGCCGTTATAATGCTAAGATCAAGGAGGATAGTTGGCTTTGATGTACTGAAATCAATGCCGATGCATCAACTCATGCCGATGCTGAACAGCAACAATGCTCCAAGTTTTAACTTCCACTGTGGAATTTTTTGGTTCCACACTAACAGTTTTGCCAACAGAAGTTGCTTTCCTACAGATTACAGATGCAAAATGAGATTTTCAAAAGCGCCAAAGTAAGAAAGGCACCTTACTTATTATTGCCTCTGGCATTGAATTGGCACTGTTGAAAGCCTGACCCAAGCCCCACGGCAACACTGAGTAAAAGGTCAGAGACATTTAATAGACAAGCGGTCTCAAGCTCCTTTACCTGCCTTCCCTTGTAAAAGAACCACCAATAAGAAAAGTAGCAGAAAACTATTATTATTACTATTAGTATTATTAAGCTAGCATGATGTTAATGATGACTTTGACAACAATGGTAAGAGTTTTACGTGCACTGGTGGGGAAAAAACAAAAACGCTCATTTTGTATTTCTAAGCCTGTCTTTTAACGCTGTTCATTTTTACAACTTCAATAATAAAACCTGATTTAAAAAAAAAAAATAGCGTTTCTGATCCATTTTTGCATAGCTAAACTTTCACTTTCACTCAAAACTCTGGGAAGAAGTCTATTTGCATGCAGTGATATTCCTGAAAGTTTTAAAATGTTTTTTTATCCACATTTATTTTAGCTACAATAAAAAATAGTGACATACTAGCTTGAGAATTAAGTGATCTAAAAAAAAAGGAAGGGGGCTGCTTTGAGGAGATCATTAGACTGCTACATAGGTTTTTGGTTTGGGGTGTTTTTTGTTTTGAGAGTCTTGTCTGGCAGTACAGTAGTAATCACAAGGTTAACAGTCTTTTTACTCATAAGGTTTCTATGGCTTAATATCTGTCAAATGTTCAGCCAAACTCCTTAGCTTTTGTCTACAGCACCAAAGACACCAAACTGGTCTTCCACCCAGTCTACCCAATCTTTGGTTTGCGGTGTTTTTGTTTTGAGAGTCTACCTATTTGCAGCACAGTAAAGACAACAGTGAACATACTTAAGAGGGCTAGAACTTTCCCTCTCATTTTTTAAAAATAAAAATATTAAATAAATTGACAGGACTGGAAGGCAGGTCTTGACAATCTCAGAGACCCCTTAGCACGTTCCTGAACTTGTTTGGTTTATTCTCTCAAAGTCAGGCCAAGATTTCTTTCCATAAAGTCCTTTGGGCTGCGATTGTTTCTATTAAGTTACAATACATGTCAATCTTTGGTAACTAAATACATTCCAAAATCTAGTGATAACTCAATTAAACAAAGATACCAAGACATAAAATAAAAACTGAATTACCTATGTTTCCAAAGAGTCCATTCATAAGTGTGCTGTGGTCTGGCTTTAATGTATTACTGTCCTGATTAATGAACTCAAGACTATCCTGAAGCCTGAAAACACAAAACAAAACTACTAATTCCCTTTTTTATACAGGGCAATATTATTTAATCTATTATGCAAATGGAACATACAAGCAAATAGTGCAGTTTTTCATTGGGAAAAGCCTAGGATTTAATATATACAAACAGAGCCCAACTGTGTAGTTAACATATGGAAACTGAAAAGCAGGTGGCTTAGAGATGGGCCTCTTTTGTAACATCTCTTGTTTTTCATGGACTGAGACCCCCCATGAGTTTCCCTTTGGGAGTATAAGTGCTCCACACCGTGCAGGGTCCCGCTGCTTAAATACATATAGCTGCTCTATAGGACAACTGTCCATCCCTTTGCTTCAAGCAAATTGGTATAAAGATGACCTCAAGTAAAGGGTCAAGAGAACAAGCAACTGGGAACACACAGGAAACAATAAAAAGTTCCTCATTATCTGAAAAAGAACCTTGAAACTCCTGCCTGAATTCTCTTCCAAGTAGCATATACTGATCACATGCCATTTATCATGTACTCACGTGTTTAGACTTCCATAGATGCTACTTCCAGTTCGGGCTGTAAAAACTTTACTAAGCATGAGCTGAGGAGGGGACCTAGGAGACAAGAGAGAGAGTCAGTACAGAAATAATATCTCTGGACTTCCTTTTCTTCTCCCTTGTCTGCCCAGAATGTACAGGCTTTAATGTAAAACATGTATAGCACTGTGCATCTCAGACACCAGCAGGGTAATTATTATTACCTGAATCTAGAAGCTGCCTCTGGTTTTTGTTGAGGGCATTCATTTGAATAGCTTCTTTCCCAATATGGACGCCTTTAACCCCAGCATTGAATCTTGTGAGCAGAACTCCAATAAAAACAAACACCACCACCACGAAGAATCTCACCTGATCTGGTGAATTTTCAATGTGGAGCCCTTATAACTCATGGCCACAGAACCAAACATCATCTCTCCAAGCATATTGGCATCTGAGGAGCACCGAGAACCCTGTAAAACAACCAATCAATTATGTACCCTGATGTACTTGAGCATTTTAATAACATACTTCAAGACAACATGGAAATGTGTCAAAATATTTCTCATTAAAAATCTTCTCTCTTTTGGACACAAAGTGCATTTGCAACATAGCAATGTGTCAAGCACTTGAAAGTATAGAGTAGTTGGCACGTTGTTCTATTGTGAGACGTGAGCTTACAGTTTGTTGTCTGTGGATTGAACTAAGCATCATAATAATTCATAAAACAAATAGCTGAGTATAAAAGAAAGACGCCACTAGCAGTTGTCATTCATACTGAAAGATATGGCAGCCCCAGACAGAAAGCAAGAAGGGTAGAATCATTTTCTCAAGTTTCAAAATGTCAGTAGATTGCTACAGCACAAAAGCCCAACCAGTTAAAAAAAATCCAAAAGTAACATGTTCCTAATAATGTAGAGCTTGGACAGGCTCCTATAGTCTTTTCAATGAACAGCTCTCTTACTTACAGCAATAGGCAACTACAAAGCAAAAGGGAAGGCATAAGTCCCAAAAAGACCACAGAGAACTGCACACACCACCACTTCTAGAGGTAACCGAAGGATGCTGAAAGGGATGTGTAACTGTACTCAAAAATAAAGCAGATTAGTTGGATTTGCTGGTATTTGTGGGGCCTTATGATTTGTTGTTCAGCATCAGTTGCCCTCCATTTGAAGTGATCTCATTCATTTTTCTCTTTAAAAAACATTCAGCCATTTCTTCAAGACATTGCAGCCACCCCACGTGGCTGAAGTGACTAGTTGTACACCATGAACCACTAATGCCAAATTGATGAAAACAAAAACAGCAAACAAACTGCTGCAAGTTCTCTGCAAATATGAACAAGACATTCACTTTTAAGCCTGTTCTTGTCTTAGAGCCATCCCACCTACCATCTCTGAACTGTTATCAGACTTTCAAGCCTCCACCTCTGCTCTCAGCGTGTTATTAGTTGTTACTGCCTCTCAGTTTAATTTTCCTCAAGCACTTGGGCACACTTCTATGCTTTATGCATTGAGAAGAGCTCCCAGCAAAAGCCAAGGAGACACTACAATATGCTCATTTAAAGCTCCCTTTCAAGTTCTCTGTGCAGTTCCACTTACAAAACACTTGACAATGCCTACACAGCCAGCATGCAGCATCTGCTCCTTGATACACTGACCTAGCAGTCTCGTTGTTACCTTGTGGTTTCATCTTGTAATGAGGCAGCAGGTCCTCTCTTCCTTTTACATGCATGCATCCAATCTGGCACACTGAGGTTTTGGTCTATAATGGAGCATCCTTGGTCTTATCACAATACAAACAAAACTGTAATAACAGCATCCTACTTTGCAACAAAGCCACCAATCATGATTTCTTATCTATCCCAATGTCTATTATTGTCATTAATAAAAATAACCATCATCATTATGACTTATGAATGATGATTATGCAAATTTGAGCCAGTTGCTGAAGGATCCTCAAAACTGAAAAATAGGGCTGAGTTGGAAACAAAGAATTTGACTAGTTCTAATTCATGGCATGCCATCTGCTTTTAATATTTATTTGGCAACTTCTATATTAAAAATACCAGAGCTTAGACTTTCACACACATTTAACACCTGGTTAAGGAAAATTTAAATTGCTTGGCACCAGCTAAATATGTACTTCTAAAAGAATAACATATACATTCATAATTAAGCAGCCAGCATTGGCATTCACTACTGCTAAATTTGACAGACGTTCTTAGCCCACACAGCATCAGTCTGGGTTAAGCCTGCCTCAAATGCAAGGAAAGATTTAAGAGGAGGTTGTATAATGTCTTTCTTCATTCACATAAGTGTTATTTTTCAAAATTTTTGTTTTTAGTACATGCAATTTAACACTTACAAATATCAATAGTTAGCTCATATCAGACAAACCTAAATATAACAATATGAGTAGTGCAGTTCATTGCATGGGGGAAAAAATCTTAAAACTCCTAATTATAAAATAAAAATGAAGAAAAAAAGGAGTTTCACAGAGTATTCGAATAGCAAGGCAGTTTATGGGTGCTTCTTGGAAAACATATGGGGAAAGCTTTTTTTAAAAAAATCAGCATATGAAGGC